CAAGCTCCTTCAGCAGAAGACTCCTCCTATCCAGATGCACCACAGAGCGCCACAGGAAATCATTCCTACCTGTGGTCATCAATCTCTATAACACCTCCCTCAAGTGATTCAGACACCTCCCCTCTGTAATTGACATTTATGCACTGTTTTTGCACGCCATGTATCACTTTACTTGGATTTAGTTTTACATATGCGTATATACATACATATATATAGATATACAGAAGAGCTATAAGTGTATATATTTTTATCTTCTTTATTTTTAGTTTTATCTTTATTATCTTGTGTAGTTGGATGTGTGTATATATATATATATATATATATATATATATATATATATATAAAACTGGAACTGGAGCGTGTAACAAAAGTAATTTCCCTCTGGGATTATTAAAGTATTTCTGATTTTGGGGAACCCTGCCCCCTAAAAAACAATAAAATGACACAAGGCACATCACTAATGGGTGCAAATTTGCCTAGATATCACATTTTAACAATGTTAAACTCACCTCTAGAGCTGCAGTTAAAATAGCAATACCCTATGATTGTAAAGAGCATGCAGATGTGGGTATTGACTTCCCTTTCCAAAGGATGTGGTTAATCACAGCTGATTCAGGGGTTTAAGAAGTGGGAGGAGCACTTTTTCCATACAGGACCTTTTTTGTTTAGGTACCTTTTTTATGATGAATAAAACAATTCATCGTTAGAAATGGGTGCTGCTGTATTTTGTGAAATATAAAAGCATACAATAATAAAATGTGCAGTTTAATGATTTTATGGTATTTTTCTCTCATTGGTTTTGCAGACTATTGGAGGAGGGAAAAGTTGCTGAGGCAGATAAGAAGAAAGACGATGTTGAGGAAATTCAAAGAGAGCGAAGAAAACAGCTCATGAAGAGGGGTGAAGAGCACGTTCCACGTTTTTTCAGGTGAGTTTAGGCCAAATATGCACAAAATTTGTTTGGTTAAACATATGGAAAATATCTAGAATAAACTCCTGGGTGTTTATTTTTACGAAAAACAATTGATAAAAAAAATGTACGGTTAAAACTATTTTAGAATCATTACTCATATACAAAAAGCAACAGGTTTTATTCTTAAATAATAATATTAAGAGTTATGTTCTACTTACCTTGGAATTGGGAATTTGGAGAGACGTAATCTCCTGAGGCATAGCGGTCCAGGTTTACCTGTGTTGGTTTTCACATTCTTCTTACACATCACAGCCCCTGTGAAAAACATCAATGACAAAAACTCTGTGCTATGTGGAAATTGTTTAGTTTCCACCCTCCTACTCTGAAGCCAGGCGTAGGTACATAACTTAATTTTGATCAAGACTGTCTGGATTTACTTTATCTAATTTAGTTTCCAAATAACTGTTACGTTTATTTATGTGGGTTTTAGGCACCTCAAGATTAAACCATGTGAAACCTGCTTCATGTTATCGAAGATAATAAAATTGATATAAACAGATTTAAATAACCTGCATAGACTTATTAAAATCTGTCCATTCTCTGTCATGCTGCGAGGGGTGCTGGTATCAGCTGTCAATGGGCAAGAGGCGGGGTACGCACTGGACAGTTCACCAGTTTATTGCAGGGCAACAGAGAGATAAACAGGACAAACAACCATACGTGCTTACAGCTAAGGAGAATTTTAAGAAGCCAATTAACCTAATAGTCATGTTTTTTGACTGTGGGAGGAAGCCGGGGTACCCGGAGAGAACCCATGCATGCACAGGGAGAACACGCAAACTCCATGCAGAACGACCCTGGGCTGGAAATGGAACCTGAAACCTTCTTGCTGCAAAGCAGCAGTGCTACCTACTGCACACTGAGCAGCCTCTTATTAAAATCAGTATTAAAATTAAAAACATGATGCATATCAGTTTAAATTCACTTTCAAAGCATAAATGAATACATGCTTGGGCTGTGAATTTAGCTTTAGTCTTAGATATTTTAGATGATGTACTAAGAACATAGTTTGTTTCAGTTTTCACTGTCTGATCTGCATTTATTACATAATACATTTTAATGTGTTTAATCTTGGCCTTTAAAAACAATCAAAACAGCTTAAAACAGCTTCAAACACTTAGGGTGTTTGAATAAATAAAGATTTTGCTCTTTTCAATGCCTAAATTGACTGAATTCAGTTTTCTTCAATCTCACTACACATAAAATCTACCTACTACTAGTAAGGGAACTGTACTGTAGACAAATTCTCAATTAAAACCTTTTGACCGCCTTAGCCCCCAAAGAGATCCTACCTAGATAACAGAAGAGCATATTAGAGGCGTAAAGTGGTTAAACCATGGTTAAAAAATACAAATATCTTTTTGCAGTTGTTACCACAAACAACTGTCTGCAAGCAAATGATTAATCCCCTCCTGTTTCTATCTCCAGGAGAGCCAAAGACTCCAGTGGAAGGGATGTGTGGCTGTCCAATGGCACTTACTGGGAGCTCAGGGACGATCCAGGTTTTTCTAATCTTGAAAACATAACTCTGTGGTGATGGAAGGCGACCTCAGCAACATGCACAAGACGACGTGCTAAGGAGAAAGCCTGGAAATCCCCAGTTTTTGATAGTTTGAACAGCATAAATGACTCGCTGTGATGAAGCGGAGACAGTGCTGCTTCAGTTCTCATATGACTGGTTTAACAGGGAATCTTCATCAACACAAAACAATATTTTACTTTCACTTTTATGAATTCATTTTATCATAATCTGTAGAATGCTTCATCTGTATGGATGCATAATTCTATGATTTTTAAAAGATTTCTTTAAGATTAGTCAATGCATAAATCTTGTTAATATTGTATCTAAATCTTATCTGATTAACTAACTGAAAACTTTTCCTAAGAGGCTTAATTAATGAACTGGAATAAATTTTTCTGCCTCCGTTTATGGAGTAACTCCTCTGTCTTCTATGGGCTGTTTTTGCTGCCTTTGAGTGGTAAAATAAGGTATTACAGTTTTGTAGCAGAACCTGCATTATAACAGGTTCTGCATGAAAAAATTATGGATGTCACTCCTCGTTAAATTTAGACCCATTCCTGTTACATCATGCAGTAATCAAATGTTGTTCCCCCGGTATAACTCAGTTTTGATGAAGCTGAGACATCATGAGACACCTTTCATGTATTACAATTACAAAGTATAAAAGTTATTGTTTTTATAATAACTTTTAAATTACTGTCACTGGGTACCTAACAAAGGATGTTTCCCAATAAAGTTTATGTTAATATGTTTCTAGCTGCGTTTTATTGATATAGTGAACCATTTTTTACCCATTTGAACTTTTCTTCACGTGTGGGGAATCCCAGCAACATACACTGACTGACCCGTCAAAAATACCACATTGTGAAGTAAATCAATATGGAAAAAAAATATTTTAAAGGTCCATAGCCCAACAGAGAGGGCTCAGATCTACACTGGTCTTGTGCATAGGCATATAAACCCACTATATTACCTGAAGAAAAGGACCCTCACTGGGTAGGACTGATCTTCTTCTTAAAGATGCTGAATCTTTGTCTGAACCAACTCACGGTACCTGGCCAGGGTCTCTGCAGGGACAGTCTGATCCTCTTGATTTTGGTCTAATGGCTGACCTGCTCTTTTTTTTCTTTCTACAAGTATTTTTAAATAGCTTAGATCACCCTGAAAAACTGGAATTGTGACAGTTCCCAATTTGCCAGAGGAGCGTCCTTCATGTTCTTGAGATACTGATTTATGTTTAACAGGTAACAAACCACAATGGTGATGTGTTTTCTCAGGTCTGTTAGGCCTGTGCTCCTTCTGCCAGTGACTAAAAGAAACATATACGTACTCATCATCTTCAACTTCATTCAGGGCCGGGTCATGGGGCAGGAGTCTCAGCAGAGACTTCCAGACTTCCCTCATCCCAGACACCTCCTCCAGCTCCTTTAGGAGAAGCCTGAGGGGCTCCTAGGTCAGCCAAGAGATAGAGTTCCTCCACCCCTGAGCTTTGGGGCCTGCCTGGAACACCTCCTGTGGGAGGTGTCATGGGGACATCAGACAAAGATGTTCAGCCACCTCAGGTGGCTCCTCTTGATGTGGAGGATAAACGGATATACTTCGAGCCTCCACCAAATAACCCTATCAGGCGGTCTCTAAAGGAGTGCACAGCCACCCTGCAGAGAAAGCTCATTTCAGCCATTGGTATCCTGAATCTTGGGACGGATTTAGGTATATCACAGAAGTTCTTTTAAGACAAGGTGGACTTACTTCTTGCTGACGTCCAAGAAGAGCCAGGAGTAGGATCCACTGCTCCTGGCTGCTGTGTAAGAGAGCGAAAATGCTCACTCTGTTCTCCATGGAGACTTCCTGCAACCTTTTCTACAGTCTCAAGTACTTCTTGGTGGTTTTGAGCAGTATGCATTGCTTGTCACCATCAGAAGAAGGTAATAATCATCCTTAATGATGAGCTTGACTCATTAATGGAGCCACCCTAATCACCTGCCAATTATATGGGGTTAAAGCTACTGCAAGCATCCTGGGCCGCCTCAGTATCAATAGGTCTATTTTTAAGTATTACATTCTCCTCTAAAATGGTACTACAGTTGTCTGAGCACTCACCCTGCTCACCGTTCTGAGCAGTATGGCCAAAACTGTGGTTAGCTTCACCCTCATCCCCCAGGCTTGGGGGGACGAGGCAAACAGTGGCTTTGTTTTCCAGAAGTTATGCAGCAGGGAAATCTTTTTTGCCTTTTTGACCGTCTTCAAGTATTGAAGTATTCCTCTGCATGGATCAAGCCCTCCTGTCCATAAATGCATACACACGTGTATGCATTTATGGAATGCAACATTCAAAGAAAACCCTTTTGATCATAGTAAGATTATGATCTTACAATGATTTGTGATCTTTGTTAGAATATCGTCTGTCATTGAAGGTTTAATTTGTCCAGATATATGCACAACACATCAGCGCTTTTCCTTATTTTCTATCAAAACAGCAAACAAAACACACTTTGAGACGTGAAAGCTTTATTTTCATGAATAAAAAACAAATATACACATATGCCATGTTCAATAAATAAGTTTTGTTTTTTTCCTCCTTGACAAATCTCCACTGTTATTTAAATGCTGGTTGTAATCTGTCAACTTTTCATGAGTAAAGGGACAATAACTTCTTCCTACACAGCACAAACCAATCACACACAAAGATGAACATTTGTTGTTTTTACCTGTGCAGCCTCCCTTCCTCATTCTCTATCTTTTTTGTCATTTTTGTTTAAATTATACATCAAAATCTCCAGAAATGCAGACCTATTTTTTTAAGAGGGAAATGTGCCACAGGAGAAAACAATGGGAACATTAAAGAGACAAGCAGGTTAACACTGGAGATTTTGGTTCACTGGGTAAAATTTAACAAAGGTCCTTCCTGAGGTATCTTACAGCATTTTTCATGCAGCTGTTTAATGTGGGATTTGAAATGTCATCTGTATACCACAGACTATAGGAAAACAAAAAATAAAGTGATATATCTGCAGGCCAGCGATCCTTTGACACTTTTCTCCCTTTAATTCTGCAAAAGCACCCTTACCTTCAACTCGTTTAAAACTTTTAATTGCTCTTAAAACATGAAAAAATACATCAATATTACCCAAGAGTCATTCAACAAGCATGAATATATCAAATAAAAAAAACAACATCTTTTAGAAATGTAAAACAGGAAAAAAATACATTTTTATCTTAAATCTGCTCTGTTTTCAGCACCTTTTTACTGTTAAATAGATTATCATGCCTTTGTGTCTGTATGGATTCCTTTAAAATTCAGAACAACAAACCCTGGATTTCAGAATCAAACTTTCCTTTTAGGAGTTGGATGCATTGCTTTTCTTTGAGTACAATAAAACCAAATACAAACTGTCGATTCCATAAACTGGAAGCTGTAACTGCATGAAAAAATGGCTCTAGTAAAAGCAGCTGTAATCATATGCATGTAATACTTTTTAGATTTTTATTAACAAAAATAATAAAAACAGTATATCATGTTGCCTACATTGTATAAAATCCTATTGAAAAGCTTCACAGTCTGTGCTTGCAAAGTTAAAAATAGTAACAGTAACTTTTTGTCCCTATAAGTGACTTCAGTTTTATTAGGATAACTCTTAACGGTGTTTCTTATAAATTATGTTTGTATCTTGTCCGTTCCATGCGATGTTAAAAGAAAATGGCTTTATTTGTAACAAGTTGCGGTGACATAGCATTCACATAATTAGAAACAGCTACAGCAACAAATAAATAATGCAAAAGCTAATGCTAGTTAGCTTAGACTAATTCCACACCAAGAGGGAGTTGTAGCTTTTTTTTAGTAAAAGCAACTTTAATTGTGCTATTTTGATCAAACTGGACACTAAAACAGTTGCTTAATAACTAAATGGGTTAAACTTGTTTAAATAATGTTTATTTACTTATGTAGGGTATGTAGCCTGTATTGAAGTAACCTCCTTTGCTCTTTGAGCAACTGTATTAGAAATGGGTTCGAATATTTATTGTGAAACTTATATTAAGGGAAAACGTAAACATGGTATTGTAACATTAAAATGTAACCCACATACAGGTATGTTATACATCTGTAATAATTTGAGCGTGCTCAGTAAACCCTGATGTTTCCTGATAGGTGGCACTAGCTGCCTTCCTGTCGCCTCCGGTGTTGTCTGAGGCGGTTAGCACACCTGGTGAGGAGTGAGGAGCAGATCTCTGATCAGCCCCGACTTTAGCCTCACTCTTTATTTCTGTCACCACGCTGCGAGCCGGGTCTCTGTCAACCAGCGTCACCACATGATGGGTCCTGAGACCAGGGGGGAAATTCAGAGTGTCGGTCTGGTCACTTTGTGCTTCCTGTTTATTGTGGTCTGAGGCTGACAGAGCCTCGTCAGTTTAATACAGTTGTACGGGGGTGTCCTCCACAGCCCGCTATCTACTGATCTGCAGAAGTTTTACCTTCTCTCTGTGCTTTTAAAGCTTGTCTGCTTCCCTTGATGGTACTGCTTTGTAGTTACAGGGCATCATATTGACTGGGGTTTTATTTGTTTGATGGCAGGAGCTTTTTCATACCTACTAGCTGTTAAGGTCAGAATATTTGGATTGTGCACGAGAAACCCTGTGTGAAGTTCTTCTTTTTGGATGCGTTTTTAAAGAACTAAAAAACATCTGAATTACTTTTTAGCCAACAACTTTGATCTTTTACTCTGATGCAGCAAAAGAAGCATAAAGGAACACAGCGGACAGGTCTGGGATAAATAAATTAAGAAGTTTAAGTCATTAAGTTTAAAGCAATACCTTAATTTTTGGTGTTTTAAAGAGCAATTCTTACTCTGTCATCTGAAAAACAATGAGGAACAAGTGTAAGCCTACCAAGACAGGCTGTGCAAGAGGAGCATTAATCAGAAAAGTAGCAAGGAAGCAATTGATTGCTGTGAATGACTTGCAGTAGAGCTATCAGTTGAACAATCAGCAAACCTGGCCTCAATGTGGTAAGAAGAACAGCACAATTGAAGATCCACTGATCTAAAGAAGATCTGCTGGTCTAGAGACGGTCCACTGGTCGGACACAATCATATCAATTTTCACTTTGCATGAAAGTTCACTTCATGCAAAACATTCGGTGAAGCTGCAAACTTGGCATCCTGAACACACCACCACCTCTGTGAAAAACTATTGTGGCGGCATCATGCTGCAAAAGACTTTAGACGCGTGGCAGGGGTTCACCTTTTCAGTGAAGAATGGCTAAGAGTTAAATCTAATGAAGAGATTTTAGACAAGACTTGAAAATTAAGATGCTTTTGCACAGAATAATGGGCAAGGATTTCACTCCCTTGATGCACATCCTGAACACAGACATAATTTCAGTTGGCTCTAAAGTAAAAAAAAAAAAAAATGCATGCATCTTTTGCATCTACTTATGCATATTTAGTTACAACTAAATATGCTCAAGAAGATGCAAAAGATGCATGAATTATTTTTTTCACTCTGCAAGTTTTTGAGGAAAAAAGCATGCCACACCATTCAGATTTTTCGTAAAATTAAAAACAATTATTGTAAAATAGTTTTTAAACTAAAATACAACTCACTATTTTGTGATGCTCTTAACAGAATCCCTTAGTGGCCCAAAAGAGACAATTAGAAAACTTTGCTGAAGAAATTTGCAAGGTGTTGATCCTGCCTTTGTTTCAAACTCAGGTGTGTGAATAAACATTGTGCATGAATGGTCACTGACATACGTTAGATAACTTCCAGGTGTCTGCTTATCTTATTCTGCATTTACCAACCACATTAAGGACACAGAAACTGGTCTGATCTGTGCACCGACTGCTTGCAATGCTCCTCTAGCACCATAAGTAGGAACTGAATCTTTTAATGTGAGTCTGAATTTTTAGATGACAGAAGTTTTTTTTTAAACTAACCGGTTTCTGCACAGAACCTTACTGGAAAATGAACATGAACACACAGGGAGGAAAGGTCTGAATGGTTGTGGGTGCGAAGAAAGACGCAGACGAAAGATGGCACAGCAGCCAGACAGTGTTTGATGCACAAAGAACAGACAATCCCTGCAGGCATCTGTCAGCAGGCAGATATGCAGATGTTTATTTCTTTTTCTAGAATCTCCAGATGTTCCAAAGACTGAAGTCACACCTTTTTTACGTCTGTTTGGTGTTTATGTGACTTTAGGCCAGAGTTCCAGTCACATCCACTTTTATTCGCTTTGTCACTGTACTTCGGAGTTTCTCCTGTGATCATTTGACACTTGTGAGATGAAACTTTGTGGTGTGGAAGTCTTCACTGTGAGGGTTTACGTTATACTGTTCTGGTTGGACTGTTTTAGCTCTTCATCATGCCCTAACAGCCTCTGCATACTCAGGGCGCTGTGAGAGGGCGTTTGGAAATGTTTGCAACAGAATGTCATGCCCTCAGTGGGTGTAATAACCATAGTAGTCTGGATCGCTGCTGTTGTCTTTTTCACAGACCTCCCCGGCACGTGGAGGTGGGGAGTTTTCAGTGCTGGACGTGTAGGGAGACACCCTCCTCTTCTTGTTCCCCTCATACAGGCCCGAATCGGCCGAGTCTGCTGATTTGGCGGAGGGTGGCTCGAGCCAGGGGTCCTCCGCTGCAGCTCCTGCAGAGTCTTTTGGCTTTTCCTGCAGCAGAGGTGGCTGCAGGGGTTCCAGGAGGGAGTGGGGGTGCAGCCTGGTGCCAGGGGGTGTGGAAGATGATGAGGAGGAAGAGGATGATGAAATGGGTCTTAACCAGCTCAGACTGGGGGTGGGTTTGCTGGGATACTGTGGGGTGGGCCTGCTTGTGCTCCATCCAGCTGAACCGGCTGATACGGACACGCTGCTTGATGCAAAAGGATGCTCTGGGTAGTAGCTGAAAGCATGGTGAGCTGACGTCTGAAGGGGAAATGGCTTGTAGAAACCATTTCCAGAAAAGTCTCCCTCGTAGGAGGAAGTGAAGTCAAGCCGGTTTGGGGGCACACTCTGCTGTGGGGGGAGATACCAGCGACTGTGAGGTCCAGGGCTAGAGGATGGATCCTTGTGCTGCTGGCCCATGGAGATGGGTTCACGACCATAGAAGCGGCTCTGTTGCAGGGGGCTAATGTACTGTTCAGAGAGGTAACCCTGAGTGTAGCAGGTCCCTGGTAGCAACTGCTGGCCTTCTGTAGGGGAAGGAGTAAGGCGATCAGAGTCGGGAGGAGCGTAGAGCCTAGGCAGGAGGGAGGAGGAGGGGAAGAGAAGAGAGTGTGAGAGGAAGAGGAAAAAGAAGAAGGTGTTATTTCCTGCCCAAACCTCAAACAACTATCAAACATCTCACAGCCCCTCACACCCTTTCACTGCAGCATGCTCAGCAGCAGAGCAGTAATTGCATCTATTCTAATATTAAAAAAGCGACATGAGCACTCAGGGCATTTCAGCAGAAGCACTGATCCAGTTGAATTATTTAGGTCAAGTTCACACTATGTTCTTAATCCAGAGCAAAAAAAAAAAAAAAAGGATTCTGGTTTCCCTTTACAAACACAAGCATTTTCTGAATTACTTACGTGTCGTAATTGTCTCGGAAACCTTTAGCGAAGGGGTTATGGTCTATTTTCAGCTGAGTGATCTGTGTAGGGAACAGGAGGAGGGCAGCCGAGAGAATGTGGGCATAGGAAAAAGAGAAGGAGTGAGCAACTAACACGAAGAAACAAGAGAGCAGTTAGAGAGGAGGTCACTGACTAATAATTAATAACGTCAACATGCTGGAAAAAGTTAAACCACAAAGTGGGAAATTACACCTACAGAACTGATGCCGTGTCTATACTAGGCATAGAAAAGATTTAGACAATATAGCTGTTAATAAAACCATAGTCAGTGAGTCTAAGCTTTACATGTGTTGCGCCAGTTGCAAAATATACATGTGCAGTACAGAGAAAAATGTATTTACCCCATTGCAGATTTCTTCTGCCAGTAAATAATGATTACATTATTTATTATTGAGTGAAAAATACAACCTTAATTAACCCTTTCCTGGGGAAAAAAATAATAAGTCCCCATTTTTTATTTGCTAAAAGTAATTAATACAATTAGTATATTACTATATAACCTAAGGATTAAATAAAGGCTCTAGATAAAGCCTGCATTAATTTATCAGTCTGGAAATTAGTATTATAAAGCCATTTCTAAGGCTTTGAAACTGCAGCGGACCACAGTTTAGTAGTAGTCATTCATAATTTCCCCACTTTCCCCTACAATTCCTAGCCTGACGTAGTCCGACTCAATTCTAGTCAGAATATGAGTCTGATACTGCTCCATAGAGCTGTGATTATGGGGCGTGTTTTGAACGAACCAGGAAAAAAAATGCCTCTGCACTCTATTGGATAGACCTACAACCAATAAGAGCAACGGAGTGCGTGACGTATGTTAAGCGAGGCATAGTTGTTGTCCACAAAAATCAAAGCGTGCAGTTTCACGCCTAGAATAAGAAGATGAGCCTTGATCGCGTTTCTCTGTTCCTCTTTTAAAATTAATTTGCTGTCGATATCTTCTAGAACAGACCTAATAGCAGAATCTACTCACCCAAACTCTCCAGCGGCAGCCATTGTTGTTGTCATCCAAGCGCGCTTTGGTCACGTGGTTGATTACGTTACTCTTGATCATCTGTCCATCATCGTATAAAGCCCGCCCTGACAATTTGATTGGATCGCCTGACAGTGGGCTATAATACTCGCGCTACTATGGAGCAGAGCCAGACCGAACTTCCCGACCTCAAACCTTGTGGGCGGGACTAAGTTCAGACTGGCAACCAGGCTATACAATTCCTTTTTAAACATCAATATTATAAGACCAAAAGAGAAGCGTCATCTCCTGGTCAGACCTTATAATTCAATGAAAGTGTGGAGTCAGAGTAAAAAAAAATATTCAAGAGGGGGGTCACTCCAGTGGCTGGAAGTTGGAGGGGATTTTGCTATGAGTTGGAGGGAAGTGGGCTGCCATTCGGCTGGGGTTTGACTGGGAGGGACCATTTAATGGCTACTACTGTAAGTGTTGTTATCCACAAATGTAGAAAACATGAAACACAGGAGAATGTGGCGAGGATCGGCTATCCCACCAAAATTTATAAAAAATTGCAGATAAGATTAGATTTTTGCTACATAATATAAGGATTAAATAAAGAGCCTGCATTAAAAGTGCAGGAAGAACCCAGCCTGGTGAGCATTAACCACAACAACCAGCATCTAAATGAGACCAGCCAGAAATGGTTCCCCCAGAAAGCTTCAATGCACTTCAAGTTTTTCATGCCAAAAAACAAATATAGCTCATAATTATTAGAAATAAAATATAGTGGTAGAAAAGTGATGGTCTGTGACTGTTTTGCTGCTTAAGGACACAACTTATATTGAATGAAACCATGATTTTGACTATTTGTAACCTTAAAAAGTGTTGCATCTGAGACTGATCAAAAAGCACACTAGCAAGTCGACCACTGAAAAGCTAAAAATAATGGTTTTGGAATTACCTAGCTAAAGTTTTTACTTTAATCATGACTTTAATCAGGTCGTTTTTGCTCAGCAACCCTCCAGTGTGGCTCATTTCTGCAAAAACACCACAACATTTCCTCCACAGCACAGAAAAAGCAGTCTAATGTTCAGGGGACAATTACTTTTTAACATTGGGTCAGGTAAGAATTGATACCTCATTCTATGAATAAATTAAATATTTGTTTGATGTTAAAATTGGTTTAACCATTTAAAAATTTGAGTGTGAGAAAAAAAAAATCTGAATGGGTGCAAATACTTTTTCACAGTACTGCATGAATGTATGCAGGAATCAGAACCATGCATGGACTTTAACAAAAACTAAAATAAGCAATTAATGAAACCAAAATGAGCAGTAAGTATAAAAATCTTACGTCTGCATTCTGATAAGCAGTGACAGCGATGAACTGCGTCTCTGAAAAGACAAACGTCTGAGCTTTTGAGGACAGGAAGGGATCCTCTGAGCCATCCTCCTTCACCTCCACAATGTGAAGACGCGGTTGGTACTTGTGTAACGACTGAAGCACAATCATCTAAAGGCAGAAACAGAATAAACTCACATAACCTTGATAGAAAATTCCGGTGTTAATTGAGCACTTTTACACAATAAGTTTGGGATTTTAACTACATGTGATCTCTAGATAATATTCATGCATAGCAAAAAGCTCAAATTAATAAATAAAAAGTATTGCAATTAACTCTTGGATTTATGAGATGGAATTTAGGAAAAAAAGAAGGCAGGGATACCTGTGCCACATTGTTGTTGCTGCCTTTGTTGTTGGTGAGCTTGAGTTTGCTGAACGACACCTCTTGTCTCATCCAATGAGCCCCTGAGTTAGGAGAGTCGGGATGCATGTACATCCTGTTCCCTGCAATCACAAAAGTAGGTAATTAGGGACAGCGTCTTATAAAAGTATTCATATCAATTGAACCTTTTCCTGTTTGTTTATCTTTGTATGGAGGTATGGACGCAAACAAATACTAAACCTACAATTAGTTGTCATGTAATGTTTTATTAGGTCAAAATTGGCTGTATCAGATTAATTAATAGTTTTTCGCTTAAAAGGAATTCTTTTTAATGTTATAATGTTCCAATAGAGGGCGCCACTGTTAGTGCTTTAGCAGAGCTATTAAATTTGCTATTTGCAGATTTGCTATTAAAGTTATTAATTTGCTAAAGTAACTAAAGAGTACAGCAGAATCATCAATCGATCCAGAGTTTCTGTCTGTAATCATTTACGTTGATTAATGTTGTCAAGGATGTAGAATGGACTTCATGCTGTTCTGTTTGCAAATATAAACACTCGTAAACTCCTGAATAGCGATCATGTAGCCATGCTGCACGATGGAGCAGCATAACTTTCCTGCTGTGTTTGGAAGGTGAGGACGTGATATCAGAAAAGTGGCGGTTATGATGCAAAATATTAGTAACATGGGAGAAAAAGACATCTTAGCAGTTAGCATGGTAGGTGGGCGAGGCTTTTGCGTGTAAATGTACTGCATAGAACCGTTTAACGTACCTCTATATCACTTTTAAAGTCCACTTACTGAAACCAAATAGACAGAGCGCCATACCCTGTCTTTTAATTCTAGTTTTTAAATTTATTTTCAGTGGAACTGTTTACTACATATTTTATTCATAATTTTTTTATTCAGTAACCTGATAGGCTCCTGTTTTGTATACCTTATACAAGCTTAACAATTTGTTTTTTTTTTTTTACTTTTTTGTACATTCTTTGTAAAAGCATCGTTAGTTGCTATTACACCTGGAGCTTTTTTATGTTGTGTCTACATCCGCTTTGCACATCTTGACCAACAAAGGTCCAGCTTCCCTGACCCTGTCAAATAAAAGCTTGCATGATACTGCCACTACCATGTTTATTAGTTTAGTTTGTTAGGAAAAGCAGTGTTGATTTTCCTGTACATATACTATTTAGGATTTGGACCAATATACTTTATTTTCATTTCTTTTAAAATCTTTCTTTGATCAAACTTTGATTTAAAATTCTTATAGATTTGTTTAGCAATTTATATCTTCCTTAAAATATCCATAAAGGCCAGATCTGAAGACTGCAGGACTAATCCTACTGCTATCAAGAGATTCTTAAACTGAAGTTATATTCGCTCTAATATAATTCCCTGTGGGCCTCCTGTCAGCTTCTCTGAGTGGAGGTCCTTTTGTCTGGGATATAATTCAGGTCTTCTTGGTAGGTCCTGCTTGTTGCATGTCTAGGTCAAACAATACACTTGCAATACAGTAAGAATTGTTGTACTGAGACAAACTATGAACAATTTTAAGGAGTAGGAATATTTGTATAAGACACTTTAGTTAAATAGCTTAAAAGGTTCAAAACAGACAGCTTGTTTTTACATTTTTAACGGATGTAATAACAAATACATAGATAATAAAATGTAATTTATAGTTACTTTTCATTCAGCCATCTGTACTGTTTTATCAATGCAGAAAAGGCCATTCTTAGATGATAAAAATATAAAAAGGAAATAACCTCCATTATGAAGGTTGCAGCCTGTAGCTGCTGCATTTTTTAATACCTTTGATATTTCATACAAACTGCAGTGCGTGAATTTTCACAGCATCACCACAATGACCTTCTAACCTGATTTTGTACCACATGAAGTGCACTATTAAATCTAATTGAGAGAAGCTGCTTTACCACAGTTTCCACAACTTTAGCACATCAGCATGAACCTTATCCCTAGCTGGCAGATGTGTGACAACACCTTAAAGTTCCTCTCATTTAGATAATTGTGGTTTGGTCTATCAACAATCATACAGCAAAAACAAAAAACAATTCTTGGTTAAACTCACTTTTATGTATAAGTGTTTTACACAGGTGTGAAATGAAAAACGTGAATCGCTGGAGGATGGATCGAGATGTGTGAGATATAAATGCAGCAACGATATGAACTTCACTTAGAATCAAATATCAATGGTTTTACTCATATCCTACATTTTGCATCTGACCAAAAACCTTTTAAAAAGGTGAGTTACCAGAGATCATTTCAGATGTCAGCACAGATTTAAATAAAAACTGCTGCAGATAAGTCAAAACAAAGACTTGTTTTTTCTTTACATAGAACCCTATATTACCTGGATGAGTGACACTTTTCTTCACTCGTAACATACCATCCACTTGGTGAAACACGGGGGTGGCAGTGTCATTCTGTGTTTCATTAATAACCAGGGTTACCTCAGAGAGGGGCTTGTTTGACATACCGGTAACTGTTTACTGTAAAGGATGATCCTGGTGACAGCATGATGCTGTGGGGATGCTATTTTTTTTTTAGCATGGACGGAGAAAATAGGCTTAGAACATGGGTTCTAAATTCCGGCCCTCAAGAGCTACCAAATTGTAACTTTAGATGTATCTCTTCTCTAATACAACTGAATTTAAGGGCCTCAATTAGCTCAGTAGAGGCACGGTAATGAGCCACTCATTTGATTTGGAGTTGGAGGATAGTAGCTCTTGAGGACTGGACATTAGCACACCTGGCCAAGATGATGAGAAGATGGAGCTTAAATCAGGAAAACCCTGATCCTTGATCTGCGGTCAGGCAGAGTTACCAGAACTTTAATGGTTTGGATCAGGGGTCCCAAACTTCTGCACTAAAAAGCCATGATCCTGCAACTTTAGATGCATTTCTACACCAACAAGCACGAACCAGATGGTTAAATATCATTCACAGCATGTGATTGAGTTCTAAATTCATTTATTTTAGACCTTTAAAAGACAGATTGTTCTAAAAGTTGCAGGATAGTTGCATGGAAAATCTTGGTTTAAAAAAATATCATGTTTTAGAATGGTCTAGTTAAAGTTCAGACCTATATCTGGTTTGGAATATCTTGCTACAGTTAAAAATGTAAATGTTTAGAGATGATCTTTTTCCAAACCAACTGAGCGTCAGATATTCTGCACAGAAAATTGCACCTTCTTGGCATCCAAGCAGGTTGATATATTTCCCAAAAGACCTACAACTGTAAGACTTTCTGTTGGTAACATAAAACTAATGAATACATCAAACTGCATAACATGGCAAACTGTGAAAAAAGTTAAGTAGGTGGGAATACTTTTTATATATCTTCATCTTATTTGATTTAGCCCATCATTTCCCCTGTTGAACATTACCCTCCCCAGATCATGATGCTGCCACCACCATGTGCCACAGTGGAGATGGTGCTTTCATGATGTGCAGAGACGTAAAAAAATATGAACACTTTAGCTAGGCAGTGTATGTACAAAAGTATTTAATGACTGCTTAATTGTATAATTAATCAATTGTCCAGGTTACAGTGATGTCTATGGGGTAGAGTGGAAAACTTAATGTGACTTATTTTCCCAGATATATTCTAAACAGTTAGGTAATTGTCCTTTTAAAAAAACACACCTAACCCATTTTCTGCTTCTTTAAAACGAAAGAGAAATAAATCGGGATCATGCTAAATTGCAGTAAAATGGTTAAATCCACAACGCCCAAAACAAACAAACAAAAAGTGTGCAAAGGACTTAAAGCAACACCAGAACATCCACAAGAAATAACCTATGCATCACGATGCAAGTTCTTGTCACCTCTGTTGCTTGAGGATGTGCTGCTACCCAAACCACTTCCTTGAGATCCTCCATGTTGCACACACGAAATCTTCTCAGCTCTCCAAAGAGTCACACAAGGGTTTTTATTCCAGCTCATGTTATCTAACCTACAACTGAAAATCTGGGCTCAGGAAAATTACTCTGAGTTTTTTTCACATCAGTTTTGGCTGCAGGGGCGGGTAAGTATCTTATTAACAGGTGCTGATGCAGTTATTTGTATAAAGTTAGATTAATATGGTTTCTTATGAGATTCTTTGATTAAATTGAGAAAAAAATATTTGCAAAATGTATATATATATATATATATATATATTTATTTATACATACTTTACCCTAAAAAAAAAGTGGAAAATATTCAGATTTGCAAGAAACTGTCTCAGAATAAATAATATCATATCCCTGTATTAAAGTGGTAGTGAAATAATTTATGCATGACTTTAATGCTGCTCTTGGTGAAAGTGGGATTAAATGCATTAATTTTGCTGAGAAGTTCAGGGAAACTGCTAGAAAAGATTATATATTTTTTACTAGAAAACGATGCTTGTCCTAAAGCTTTCAGATAAATACAAAATCCAGTAATATCTAGTTTTATAAAATTGACAGGTTACTGTTTTCATATATGGTTCAAGTTTATATAATCTTTACCTTAAAGTTTTGCATTTTTACTCATCCTAACATAATGTGAACTACAGTTATTTGAAACCTACCTGGCATGTTACCCTCTGCTTTCCCACATTGGACCCATTTTCCTCCCTGGTACCTCCAGTGGTGCTGATCGGCCAGAACCACGTCAACATAGACATTATAGTGGGCCGATGGATCCAGAACACTGATGTTGAAGCTCAGGAAGGGAAACATCCTCCTAGATAAACACACATGGATATTAATCAGATTTTTTTGAATGCATACATCATGTGGGGTCAAATAAAGCATTTAAGCTGCGCATATGTGATACTCAAATACTAATCTAACATATGTGATACTCTAATACTAATCAAACATCAGATCTCCTTTTTCCACACTGGATAGCATCCTACCCCTCTGTCATAGCCTGAAATCCAGTATTAACTGGTCCTGGTTAAATGGTCAAGGTGGAGTGTTAATCTGGTCAAATTATAACCCTCAGAAAACTAAAAACTTTGGAAGTGTTTATAGATGTGGTTGTAATAAATATTTGTGTCGAACTGTTCAGTTTGTGTGCAGATCGGCTATACTTTGTTTTGCTTCCTCTTAAAAGATCTCTATTTGTAACCCAGACTGACTGAGATCAATGAGGGTGTCCCATCAAAGGGGCGACAGCAGCACTGCTGTCATCTGTATCCAGATGTGTGTGGTTGAGAAGGAACTTTCATTTCCTATCTCCACTTTCCAATCCTGATTTCACTTTAAATTCTTGCTGAATTTTCATTTATTTTCTAAGTAAATATTTATATGCAGGTGAGAAACGTTTTAAATTGGAGGTCTTCAACAGGGCGGTCTGTGACCCCTAGGGGGTCCACGGAGGTACTGCATGGGGGTGTTGGGAAAGTTTTGGTTAAATATACTTTTTTTTTTATATATTCCCTCCTGCAATTGTTTCCACTAATTGAAATGCCTTTAAATACACATTAACATGAATTCAACACACTGTAGTAAACAGATAAATGAAGGCAGAAGATTTCTTTCAGTCTCTGGGCACCGTTTCATTCACAACACCTGTCCCATCAATGAGGAATCAGAAATACTTGAATAATCCAAGGGTGAAATTACTTTCGTTAAAGTACTTCATATGTAATAGAGTGACTATAGGACCAGTTTAATATAACACGATTTCATACAATACTGTATATATATTTAGGGGTCCCCGCTCCATCTCGCCATCAGTTTGGGGGTCTTTGGCCTGGAAAACGTTGAAGACCCCTTGTTTAAATAATTGGTGAGGATGGGATGGAATTGCTTAAAGGTTAAATATTGGCTCCAGACTGACCTTGTAAGTTTGCTGCAAGATAGCTCTGGGCTGAAAGAGGAACCCATTTGGTTAAGGATATGAAACCATTTTTTCAATACCAACCAGTGAGTAATCTAGACCTACATAGGGTACAATGGACAATTATTGTGTTATTATGTAAAAAAAGTATGTTTACTAACTATTTTACTTAACTGTCTATTTTTATTTAAATGTTTCCATGAGAGCAGGAATACATATCACAATTATCAAAAATATGATGTAAAGTGAGAAAATAACCCTGCCTAATTTAACTGGTGTCCTGAGGTACCAGCCTAACTATGTAATAATGAGTAAACTGTGTTGTTCTGTTAGAAGCAGTGGTGTTAAGTCATAGCAATATAATATATATTAAAAAAAATGCAATTTTTTAAACACTTTTTTATCATCCCTATAATAGTTACAACATAAAATATTTTTATCAGCTTTTAAGCCCCCACTTCCCATCCATACATAGGCTACCCAGCTGACTTTGCCAATACTTACTGTATAATACCAGTCAAATAAACTAACTCAATTATGAACCGATCCAGTTTGTACCCATTCAGCCTGATTACCATTTACATGAAGCCTAAATTCATACATTGCCTGGGTTCTTCCACCAGTGGTTCTGATTCCAGTTGGAAGTTATAGGTCAGGATAGATTTTAACCCTTGATTAAAACCAATTAATCCCTCTGGGTGGATTGAATTCCTTAAAAAGTAATAACAGCATCATAACTTACTAAAAGTATTGGAGAACTTCAAATCATTAAATGACTAGCATGCCCTTTATATAGTAACATCAAACTATAGATTAATTAACTGTCATAAAAGCTAATTTATTATAAATACTAAATTCTGCCCAAGTTCTTATCCTGAGTTTGTTTTCTCAACAAAAAAAGAAAAAATATATATTTTTAACTTCATTTTAAAGGTGTAAATTAAATTAAACAGTTAAATACAAATTAGTTTTTCACAAAAGGCTAATTCAGTTCATTTTTTCTCACTATGGTGCCTTTTAACATTAGTCCGTTTTGTACTGATTTAGTAGATTATTTATTTAAATCTTAAATCTTAAATAACCTTGTTGTAAAAAAAAATGTGTTTCTTTGAAACAAGATTTATTTTTATATATATACAAAATATGATTAGATCAACAGTATTAAATTTGTCCTTCGGTTAAACATAAAACCTACCAAAATTATTTGCATAACCGAGAAGGAAGTTTCATGCTTATCAGAAAATAGTCTCTATATTACGAGGGATTTTTTTTTTTACTATGTGATTGGACATTGGTTTACCCCGAGTCGTTCTGTTTTCTCAGAATCTTAGTGAGAATCTTATGAGTGTCAGTGAGTAGGAAGGGGTGGGGGGGTTAAAAGAGGCTGAGACTGTGAGTAAATATTTCATGTTAGTGTTAATAAAAGATGCCCCAGAAGATCCTCTTGATTGCCAGGGCTTTACACGTTGAACTTATTTTGACCACCACTGATTTCACTGAGACAAGGTAACTGGGAGGTCAGGGCGTCCCCGGGTTCACTGTCAGGGAAAAGCTGCGTTACTCCAAATCAGGATGACACACAGCTGTGACTACTAACACCCTGTTGCAGATGGGGCCTGCTGAGCACCTGAAATGCATGCCGTGTTAACACAGAAGCTATAATGGTAGCTTTCCTCTGTAGCAGATATGAAATATTATAAAGCACAGCCAACGATAAAGACAACCACATGACTCAATCTGTTCTGATTACCATCTTTATCAAGTTGCTGTGACCGTTTTTGACCTACAGATATCTATCATCTTCCACTAACTCATCATGTCAGTTGATTCAGATGGAACACTTCATTTGAAAGAGGTGATGCTTTGTTTTAAAGTATGATAATGATCATAAGTAGGGGTATAAATCACACCCATCATGGCGATTCCATGTGGTATCAATTTCTTGATCCAACGATTCGATTATTTCCGATACTCCAGAATCCGCCATGTCTGTCTTGCCTACTGTTTACGCGAGTGTATGTGCAAGCGGAAAAAGGGTAGTGGCTAAAGGAAGCAAGGCAGGAGGTCAAAATAGGTTTAGCGCCACCGCAGCACGGGAGTCAGAATTACATCCAGGAGCAAATGGATAAAAATAGACCTGAGGAATAACAAATCATGAATCGATACTCTTGCAGATGTGTCGATGCATCGGATCGTCGGCTGTTGGATCGATGCATCGATACAAAACGATTATTATTTTCAACCCTAATCATAAGCTACAAAATAGCTAAAGCAGTTTTAAAAATAGGAAAGATATTTGGTCTTTTTTCTAGCCCCTTCAGACGTACATTTACATTTGATTTTATAATGTTCTTATATTATTTGTACCACAAAAAAATAACATTTAATTTAGTAAAAGGTTTTAAAACCATTTTTTTTCTCAGTATATAACCACTGCTAGCAATTATGCAAGATTATCAACTAATAAACACTTTATCTTGTATGCTATAATTACTAGTTTTAATATCCATGAAATCACTTTTTTTTAAAAGAAAATATGACTTCAAAGGTATTACCCTCAATGTTGTGGATGGGTAAAATTTCTGTATTTTCTTGTTAATTCCCATTTATAGACAAAGATAATTCAAGCACACATACATAGAGAAAAAATACACATGGATTAGAGGTATTTGATGACACTACATTAATGGTAACATAGAAATTCAGTATGTCCAGTTTAAGAATAGGGTAAAGGGTAAAGATAATGAAGGACTAAATATTAGCAAAAAAAAATGAGGAAGCAATTAGATAAAACAAGTATCCAATGAATATACAGCAATAGCAGCTTTAATATGTAAAATATGTTCTAAAAAAAGAAGGAGATAAAAAAAAAACAATGTTTTCTCTCACCAAATTAGTCTCAATTTATAAACTGGGTCTAATGTTTGACATTTGACCTTATTGTTTCACTCTCCATTACACATTTTAGGGCTTTATAGATTTGCAGGGAGTATAAGAAAATTCCCTCTGTATTTAATTCCCCCTGATATGGCGGGGAGGTCTTCTATCTTCTTGGCTTTCTGACATTTCCCTTATCTATACAAATATAGAAGGTAGGTGTGTTTTGGGGATTGAACTGCTTAGTCATTGTAGAAGGGCAACCAGTGTAGATAGACACATAAAACATCCCTCTTTAAGAAACACCCTTTGTATCTTGTCTAAAAATACTTTGTTGTGGTTGGAAAAAACTACTGTAGATAAGATCTATTGTGAACATGATTATTTACAGTAAAACACATTGCTCTTATGATAACAATATGGTTCAGCACAGATAATCTATGAAAATTATTTCCTTTCGACATGTGATGGAGATTTATCTCATAATCTTAATTTTGTGGTGGTAAAGTGCAGAGGTTGTGAAACGATATGGAAAATCAGAATTTCCTGTCCCTGATAGAGAGTTTTTAAAAATATAATGGATATATCCTCACAGAGGAAAAAATGTGTGAACTGCATAAGTCATACTGATAAAACTTACCGTTTAGTTTAAATTCAAATTTTTAAACACAGATAAAATGTTGCATAATTGTTTGATTTTGCTTTTTTTTTTCAAATGGGATAAATTTTCCTTTTAGATCTTAAACTCTTAATTTCTATTCATTCAGTTTTCATAAATCCATTTAATGCAAACAAAAGTAGAATACCAAAAGCAATCTTTGTGTTTTTATTAACATAAATAGACATATACATATTGGATTCTTATTATATTCAGAAAATAAAGCAATACAAATACTTAAAAAAAAATGAAAAAAGAATCCTCTTTTGCACCCGGGCTGTGCAGTGAAGCAGTGGGTAGCGCTGCAGATTTGCAACAAGAAGGTTCCGGGTTCCCTGGGTCTTTCTGCATGGAGTTTGCA